GCTTGGGCAATTCTTCCAGGAAGTATTTCTTGATCGCTTACCATTTCTTGACAATTCTGTCTAATGCAGGAATAAGTGTGAGCCACCTACATTGTACATGCTGGATAAATAACACTTCATCAAGGCCAAGATCACTCAATACATGGATGTAATCTTCTCTTCGAGAGGGTGAGCTCTTTAACCAATAGAAAAGATCTATTGCCAGTTCCTCAGAGGCATCTCCATAAGCATTAACACCTGCACGGAAGCATTGTTCACAACATGAATGTTGCAAGGGATAAATGGCAAAAGACCAGGGAGTCCTTCATCTAACAGTGCCTTATTAACTGTACTCCAAATTGTTTTGTTGACATTTGGTCCATTTGATGACAAACTTATTGAGCCTCAGAGAGGCAACTGGCAGCCTGTTTCCTGAAGGATCTCCACAATTTTTGTTGCAACATCATGTCCTTTGGCATGCCCAAAGAAGTGTCTGCAAGAACCTAACACTGACCTCGTTTTTTTCTTCTGACCAGTAGCGCACTAGTATGTCACACTGCTTGTGGCCTTGGGCATTCCCTGTTTCATCATACTGAATGGTGTATCTAAAACCTGATTGTGAAATATCTTGGCACAGTTTTTCTTAAGTATGGGCCTAATCAATCTGATATCATGTAAGACACTTTTGTTCCACTCATTGTAAAGTTATTAGACACATCTCCTGGGAACATCTTTTGGAACAACTGTGGTATACCATCTGATGATGCAAATGCATAGTCGCTTGCAGCAGTTTTCATAGCCCACAGAGCTTCAGCTCTAGCTACCTTCTTTTGCTGTGACAAATCTTGAATGGGTATACTGAGAGGTCCCTGGTCTTTTCCTTTATTCTCACTACTGGTTGTGGAAAGAACAAAATGTCTTTGAGCTTGAGAAAACTTGGCAGCAGACTATTTCCTGTGCTTTTCACTTTTGGCATGTTGCTGTATTTGGGTCAATCCAGAATTATCAATCGCAAAATCTTTAATGCATAAGGTACAGAAGGCCTTGTGTTTCGAAGTCTTGCACGAAGTACACCAGTCATCTATTCTGTGACCATCTACATCTGTCTGATCCAGCCAGCTAGCTTGAAACTTAGTTGAACCATGTGGCATTATGCTCTGATGTCACACTTCTATACTGCATAAATATTTTACCTGCAGACAGGAAAACACATAATATTTTGTCACACTTTTTTATGCAATGCTGTAAAGCACTAATAATAAGAGGTAGACTGGTTCAATTAAAATTATGCATTGGTAAGATAACATTTTTCAAGGTTGGTGACATGTATGAAATAAACTTAATTGTAGATTTTTCCTATTTAAAAGCCCTACTATTGTGCACACAAAAGTACAAAAGAGCACCAACATGAACTGGTCCCTCAGTTATTCTTCATTGGGACAAGACTTTGAACTCTGAATAGTGATGACAATCCAAAAGTGCTTATAGTGCCAATAGAGGTTGTTAAAAATTCATGTCTGTAATTTTGAAACAACTAAATGAACAAATGACAAATGACGAGCCATTACTCAGCAGTTACACTAATTGTACTTACCAGTTTGTTATTTACTTGACCCAGGAAATTACTGTCCCTGTTACATCCACCAGCACAAAGTTGATCACAACCTTAGCAACATTTTTGGGGGGTTTATTCTAAATAATTTTAAATTTTAAAAATAATAGAATTATAGGGATTATAGGACATTTGTAAACTATATAGGGAAATATAGGAGGACTGAGAAAATATAGCAAATATAGGAAATATAGGGACGCTTGAAGCCCTGCAATTTGTTGTGATCCAATTGGCTGAGACGTGGGTAGAAAGCCAACGGTTGCACTGAAAAGACTGACTTTAAAAAGCTTCCTTTAACAATGGACGAGTACGTTTGATTGCCGAAGACTTTGTTCCCAGAATTTATTGTTCTTTTGAGACAGGTTGAGTCCACAGCGCCTATGTTTTTGGACGATTCCCAGGAGCTTACTGGAAAAGTTTGTGGCACAATTTGCAAAATTAAAACTCAAGTGTGCTCATCAGAATGTGAGATTCCAGGTATGTTTAAATAGCCATTGAATGTTCTGCTTGACTTCCCTCCAGAGTACCTTTTTAATTAGGGACCAGATGTCTAATTTATCCCCAGTTGAAAAGTTTTACTAATTCCTTTTTCCAGATTCTCCAATCACTGACCAGCCATCCAGCCCACCAGGTAAGTTTCATTAATGCAGTCTCTAGGTTATGTATACTAATGATTGTCCATACAGATTAAAAAATTTTTTATTCATGTCATATTTAGATACAGATATGCTACCAGCTAGGCAAGTACCCTCTAGGGAGGTACCAGTGTCATCTGTAATTAACAAGACACAAGAGACCGACACAACAGGTTGGTATGAAAAGGGAATTTAGCTCATACTGTCACAGTTGAATAATGTCAGGGGCAGATCTAGGGAAAGGGTGCAGGGAGTGTGCATCCCCTGTGATGAAGCCTTCTCTGTATTTGCTTTTAAAATTTGATTACCTCACCAGTCAGTTATGCCATTCCTTAGTGGTGCACCCCTCCTACGAAAAATCCGGGATCTGCCCCTGAATTTATCCTCAATTTAAAAATTTTCCATTCCTCTTCCCAGGAACCCAAACCAATGACCAGCCCAACAACCCAACAGGTAAGTTTAGATGCAGCTCTGAGTTTTCTCAAAAACAAATGTATGCTAATGCTTGCCCATTGTGATAAGTTAAATTCATGTCACTTTTTGACACATAGTTCCCAAGACAGCTCTGTGTGAGAACAAGCAAAAGGGGGCCTGGGGGTAAAACATTTTTTCTTCATTCACTTCAGTTAATTCAGATACTCTGAGCTCTTAGAATACCATGTAACTCAATTCTGCTTTCCGAGGAATGTTTCATTAAGCTATGCACACTGCTTACTTAATTCAATCAAAGGCTCCTTCGAGCTACCTCATGGTATGTGGTAATTAATCTATGAAGTACTGTCCTTTGCCTCTTTTGAAACTAAGAAGTGTTGCATTTGTAAGGTGTTAAGTTGAAAAGTGCATCATGTTAATAAGCAGCCATTAGTTGAGCATGTTCATAGAAATAAGGTCTTCATCTAATATATATAACATTTTGACAGGAAACACTGGTAATCCTTTTAGTGTCTTTTTCTCTGTCTGGATTATGAACATCNAGCGGATTGCAAAATATTAAAAGCGCATTTAATTTTAAATCATACGTCCTGCGAGTATTTTTAGAAAATTCAAAATGCAATACAGTAGGAGGGCAGCTTACCTTTTTCCCCACACCATAAAGCATTCATTTCGAATAGTTCGTTTTGTGCATTCTACTCCTCGTCATCCAAATGTATCTTGGAGACATTGTAACTTTTAAGACTTTAAAACCCACTTCTTTCCACTCGAGCTTTCTTGAGCACATTTCCTGTTCGTTTGTGAGGTCTTCAAAAGTGTACTTTGATCAAAGATGGAGCAAAAGGAAAGAAAACTCGCCTTGACAATTTTTGTGTCGGGCTTGACACAACAGACGCCATTTTGTAAACATGTACTGCCACCTATGTCCCACCCGCTCCCCCCCACGTATACGAACATAAAACAATGACACGACTTTGCGACAAAACCAAACCTAGTATGGGGGACAGGGGGAAACGTGTTTAATTCATGTTTAATGCGGATTTAATACATAAATTAATTGTCTAACAGGAATGGAGTGACAAATCCAACCATCACTATACCTCATGGTATGAAGTACATACCACGACGTAAAAACAAGAAGGTCAAATCCACCTAGACAACATAAACCACTACAGGCCTCTTGAAACACCCATGGTAATTTATACACAACATAGGGTTGAACAACTCATCAATGAGCTCTACCATAGAAACCACATAGATGAAATCACTAAAAAATGGCTTTGTGAAAAGCCAAAACCGCCTCGCATTCCAGAATTCTACACCCTTACTAAAATACACAAACCGACCACGGTCGGTAGACCAATAATATCAGGGTGTGAAGGCCCAACAGAGAAATTATCATCATTTGTTGACAAACTACTTCAGCCTATTGCAAAACAACAGAAGTNCACTCGAGCTTTCTTGAGCACATTTCCTGTTCGTTTGTGAGGTCTTCAAAAGTGTACTTTGATCAAAGATGGAGCGAAAGGAAAGAAAACTGGCCTTGACAATTTTTGCGCCGGGCTCAACACAACAGACGTCATTTTGTAAACATGTACTGCCACCTATGTCCCACCCGCTCCCCCCACGTATATGAACATAAAACAATGACACGACTTTGTGACAAAACCAAACCTAGTATGGGGGACAGGGGGAAACGTGTTTAATTCATGTTTAATGCGGATTTAATGCATAAATTAATTGTCTAACGGGAATGGAGTGACAAATCCAACCATCACTATACCTCATGGTATGAAGTACATACCATGAGGTAAAAAGCAGGTATGCTAATTAGCCAGTTGAGTCCAACTGTTTCCAAATGATTTCTCTTTTACAAAGTATGACTACACCTCAAGAAATGTCTCCAATCGCAATGGATACGACACCAGGTATGTTAAGAAAACAATACATTTTCTAATGACTTTTCAATGAATTTAATGAGTTATATCCCGGTGAACACAATGAGCCTATGAGCCGTTACAAAATAATAAGTGGCACTTGTACAGATTACTCACATCCTGCAGCTTCAGAAAATATCTATGCACTGGAGGGGGGTTTCAAACCTAAAAATTTGTCATAGTAAGCGTGAGGGGAAACTGTAATTTACAGGGCTTAAGCAAAAAATACTCTGGGAAGGGGTTAAAGGGCTCAAGCAAAAAATACTCTGGGAAGGCTATGGAACTGATATTTTCTTAACACATAATAACTTCAAAGGCCTTAAATATTGATTATGGTCTTGCCAACTTGCTTGGACTGCAGACAGAGCAAGCACTAGCAGAGTGAAAAGGAGGAAACGGAGGGTTCAGAAAAAGATCAAATGTTCTAAGGTAACCTTGCATATTAATCGACTGACTTGATGTACAATGTTAAATTTTTTAAAACGTTTACAACAAAATCCTAAAAGCTAAATACATAAATAATTGCCTGAAATAACACCAAAACAATTTTCCAAGGGAACTCGAGAAAATGAATTTTAAAGTTCAGAGAAATAGTGCAACCACAGGTAAAATTTCATTGTTAGTTTTATATTACCAGTACTTTCAAGTGTTTCTTATGAACGTCAAACTTTGTTTTTGACATTTGGTGTTGTAAGAAATGATTTCTTTTGAGAACATATTCAAAAAAGTCACACACAAGTTTGTAGTATGATGCAAATAATCTTGGTACAAAGTTTTTCTCCACATGTTACTCAAACTTCTGGTGTTCTTAATTCTTTGACGTAATGGAGTAAAACAACTACTAATAGGTTATTACAATTCAAACTCAAGCCATGTACAGAATACCGGAGTCTGGGTATGTAAGCGGTCATGATTTATTAATTATTACATGTTGGCTAGCGAGATAAAATGAAACCTCTGAGATGTTTATAAACTTTCAATCTCAAAGGAATCTACACATACACCACCAGCTACCTTGGAAAGTGAATCAGTCCCTCAGGTGAACTTTGCAGAAAACAAAGAATTCAAATATCTGAAGGAGCATTTGGCACCTAATAAAGATCCATCAGTTAAAGCAGCCATTTACATGACATATCTGGCAAATTGTGATTTTAATACCACCATGGCACCCAATTCAATTATTCAGTTTGACAATGATAATGTGGCAGAACTTCTCTCTACTGAGGACAATCCTGACATGGCAATGCAGGTAAAAAACTTTTCACAATCACAGTGTGTTAAAATAACATTTGCATCATCCTGTTAAGACATTGGCTGGCTCTTTTGTAAATAGCTACTTATTCTCACGGAACCCTAATTGGTAATTTTCCCATAAAGGCATATACAACAATGACAAAAGTATTATGGGCAGTTCCACTTCACCACAGATTGATCAAAGTCTACAGCAGCTCATCAGTATTACATCCCAAAACATTTACATTGAAATTGCCGGTCATCAGCCCTCTTCACAGATTCTAGGGATTTATGAATATTTACATGTTATAACCTAGAATACCTTTTGCCATTGTTCCATACGCTTTGAACTACCTTCTTGAAATGGCTGGATCTGAGGACTTAATTTATGTATGATAATTAAAAACAATAGTATATTTAACATACAATTAAAATTATTGCAGGGCTCATTAGCTCACACCCAATGTGCCTTACAATAATTTTACAAATTCAGAACTGAAACTGTCACTGAAACCATAGATAAGCACCAACCTGATGAGCCACTCGGCTCACATGCAGATAATAGCAAAGTTTGTCTGCTACATATTGATTGTTCCTTATTAAATAATATATAGATTTAGCTAAGCCTAAAAGGGGTGCTCCTGGGCTGTGTTGTTCAAAACCTGATTAAGCTAACCCAGGATAAGTCAGAGATTTGATTTGATTTTTGTAACTTTCCAGTGAGGTTTTCTATTTATATAGTTTGGCCTCCTGTTTTGACTTTGAATAACCTCAAACTACACAAAACACAAGCAGTGAATTAAATATTATGACTGTTACCTGTAAGGTTATTGGAAAATTACATCAAGCCTTGCAGCAGAGGTATCAACTTGCCACACAGCAGGCTTATGCCATAGGCAGATTTCTTACAGAATGCATTGCCCAACACCATAGTGAAAGCATGCCAGATGTTGCTCAGCAGTGTTCTCGTGGAAGGCCAAACTACAATTTTACTTTAGATATCCTTGATGGAATAGATGAACTTGGAGCATCATCATCTAGTCTCCCTGACCAGATTGCAGTTTTTAATTCAGTTCCCAAGTTCCCATTGCTAAATTATGTAACTGAACCAATGAGCCATTTTGTTAGCGCTGCATTATGCTCAGCCATAGTTAATTTACCAGCAAGAATACACCATACGTGTGATGTGCCCAGCAACATCTATGAAGCTTACAGCAACACAAGTCCATACAGAAATGTGGTGTGTGATAATGCAAGTCCAGAACTTTCCGACAAAATATGGTATCCCACTGTTATTCCCTGTGATGGTGATGGTTAGGTTACGAACATTAATATTGATTCTGACAAACCCCTAGAGAATGCAGTTTTCACCCGTCTTTTTTGAAGAGATGCACTGGAGTTAGCAGCAATCCATTTTGTGAAAAGAGACGATTTAAAACATGCTTATTCAAAAAGAATGGGTCACATAAGGCTCTGTGCAGTTCATCTTTTCCTGCGCATGTTTGTTCCACGTGGAAGAACTGATCTGTATGAAGAAATTCCAGTGGAGGGAATGGATCCCCCCACAATTACTATGGCCGCCCGTTAAAGGAATTTTGGTTCAAGTATACGACACCACCTTCTGATGAGATGGAGACAAGATTCCTTGAGTTTGTTGAACAGCTAGTCAGTACTCAATCAGAGCTATGCAAGAGGCTAATGTCACCATTTCCAGTATACAATGCAACTGCAACGAGTCCTTTCTTGTTATCACTCAATGCACTCCTTGTTGTAACTGGTTTTCGTCATGTTTTCACGAGATACTTTCAAGACAAGCTACTACTTGGTCTACAGGAAGTGGCAAAAGAGAAAAAATGGGTCCAATCTGGTGTGGTGCCTCTAGAAATTTCATTTATGGGTGCAATTTAGATAACAGTGCTGACTACATCTTGCAGCATTTCAACCTTGAGACAACTATGAATTTGGAGCAGAAAGGATATCCTTATAACAAGTCCACTGCATGCCTACTTTGGCATGAGAGAAAAACTACAAACCAGACTTGTTCTAACCAAACTACCCGAGCACAAGATCACGACCACCTAGCTCAGCATTTACCCAAGAAAGAACCCCAGTTTGGAATTTACAACAAGATTACAAGGTACCAGATAAATATAACAGACCTGGTTGTTCAAACGCAAAATGCCAAAAATTAAAATCAAAGTTGAAAAACCATTCTGTAACACACGAAAAACAGTTTTTCTCACATTTCCAAACTGAGCATAAGAATGACCATGCAACATCTCATGAGAATTTCTTAGTTAATCAGACTTGATTTCATGCATAATGCAGTCACAGAGCTGATTAACCAATGAATTTATTCCCACAATATAATTCCTAGATTTGACGGTTAACAGAAAGTTAAGAAATGAATCTTTGATCGGCGTACGTAACTGGTGTGAATCTTACCATGCCAAGACTGGCCTTCGATTGTACCTAGTGTCAGAGGCTGAACGATTAATTTTCAACTCACTCAAAAATTGATTACCTCAATAAATTCTAAGAATGAGAATGACCATGCCAGATATCCTGAGAATTTCTTAGTTAATCAGACTTCATTTTATCCATAATGCAGACAGAGCTGATCAACCAGAAAATTATTCTTATAATATAATACCTAGATTTGACTGTTAATAGAAAGCTGCCAGTGGGCTTTGAGAAATAAATCTTTTTTTGCTTGAGCTTGGGGGTGAAGAGAATTTAAGGGGTGCATTTATCATGAAACGGACCCTTATCTCGACAGGTACATATAGTCAGCCGGTTTGAGACATTTTTAAGGCAGGCTGGAGTGACTGTGTCTATTTTTTATTAGCTAGGATATTTAATCATTTATTTCTTGTTCTCTCTCTGGGTGCTAGGACGCTCCATATTTTCTCTTACAACGGTCTGACAGCCAGCGTATAACCTTCCTGTGGCATTTTCCCTCTATGTTCATGTCCAAGTTTGCACGTGAATGATTGCAAGACAAGACACCCACAACTTTCTTTGTTCGAGTAAAAGTAAGTACTCGTTTGCTGTTTATTGCTTGCTTGATGCATAATTTGATGATGTATTGACTGACTGACTGTGAACTGGATCTATTAAGAAAACAATCTGTTTTTAATGACTTTTCGAGATCATGGAGATTAGTTACCAGTGACGTGATAAAATCCCTTGGTATCTTCAATTAATTTAATGCAATATATTGAGTTTCACGCTGTTACCGACCTTATCAGTACACGGTAAATACAGCTGTCAATGTTGATCCTTATGAGTGAGTCCTTTGAGAATCAACGTGACTCTTTAAAAGCATGGCTCTCAGATCTCTTTAAGAGCATGCACTGATAATTTGTTGTCTGGTAGTGAATGCTATACCTTTCAGAAAGATTCAATAAAGTAACACCATACAATAGACTTTGGGAAAGTTTTTAAACTACGGTTTATCACTTCTACCCAAGGTGCTCCAAGGTTCT